AAGCCATCAGGGATAAGTCATGCCTCCCACAAAGCATATGTCAAGAAGTTTCTCTCACAAGTTGTTAAACAAATAAACAAATTATCCCCTCCCCCATCCAAATTTTAATGTCATCTTTAAGAGTGATGATGTAAGAGAATTATTTCAGCTAATGATGTGACTTTTCATCCCTCTTAATTGACCAAATATTATAAATCCATATATCCAATTATCCCCTGGGGGGGGTTCCCTGCCCACCACAGGAGGGGGCCAGCCTAGCTTGGCATCCCTCCGCACCCCCCCCCCCAAGGACATGTTTAATATGTGAGGCAATGGAATCCAGATATACATCACAACTTACCAGGGAGAGATGAACCCCATCACCCCTGTACAGATGTGGCAAATCAATTCTGATCTGATTTTGTGATATACAGTGTGCCCCCAAATCCTCTAGACTCCTTGAAACACTTCTATTCACCCAAGAACGAGCCGTGTTAATAGCAGAGTCTTTCCTTACTCCAGGCCAATTTCATTGCAGCAAGAGCTTGGTCCATAGAATAACTGTCCCTGGTAACCACTGTTGTATTTCCTGTAGGTCCATCACAATCCTTTTGACCAACTGTAATCCAGTAATCTTAACCAAGTCATTTCCGCCTAGGTGAATAAGTAAAATCCAGGGATGTGGAAAGGTCTCAGCCAATTTAATGATGCAAGAAAGAAGGGCCCCCCATAGCATGCCTCTCCGTCCAAACCATGGCATGAGTCGAATCCACCCCAAACCTAAGTTTGGATCTCAGCCCGCCTGAATAACATGCCGTTCAGCCCAAAAGACCAAGCTGTGACTGACAATCCAGACGTCACCCTGTTCTTGCCCTGCTCAACAAAAACACACACATTATAACATTAATACAGGATTGCATCAGGCTCATGGTAACAAGTCCACATCTAGCCTATACTAAGGGCGAATGTAAGATCTAAACACTAGAGAGTGCCATCGCCCAATACCCCGGATCACAGCATCACTTGGGCCATGAGCTGCTGCAGCCATCACAGCTCCAATCCAAAAAGAATGAGAAGAGAATTGGGCCGCTGGCAAACCCACATGCTTCAGTGCCTCCTGTAACACCGCTCAAAATTGAAACTGCGTCAACGGAAGGCCCGAGACATGTAAAAACAAATAACCAGGGGATGGTGGGTGCAATCTGAGGTAATCTGATAAGGCCAATACTGGGCAAATCTGGCCATTGGGAGCCTTGGACAAAACTATGGTTTGACCCCTAGCCAACTGATCAGTCTTTGAACACCTAAAACACAAATGTGGGACCTGTTCTGAAAATTGAACATTGGATAAGAAAAGCTCCCTGCCTGACCTATCAGAGCGAGAGCTAGGGACCAGTTCACTAATTCTGATAGCTGCAAAAAAGACCAATGAATAAGCAGCCCGAAACAATGTAACTTCCTCAGGCGAGGAGCATACCATTTGGAGGGAATGCCAAATCTGTGTAAGGATTGTATCCGTCACCAGCATGCGGGTGTCGTGTGCCACTGGGAGCTCCCTAGACCACCCCTCCAAAGCCTTCTGAACCCTAAAATCTATAGTAGGATCCTTAAAA